GGCAATTCGGGGCGGCACGTGGTCGATGGCAGCTGCTCTAGCTGTCCGCCCACTCCACGCTCCCACGCCACCCCCTAAATACACGGGTGACTCACAAAAAGGTCGTGTACACTCAAACGTACTCTGAAATAGTTGTTGCAGAAAGAAGATCCGGGGTTATGCAAATGATGACAGTTATAAAGCAGTAAACACATAAAAAAATAAAAAAAACTGTAAACATATAAACAACTAGCAAATAATAACAAAGTATAAAACATAAAAGTCAGATAAAGCTAGAAAAACATAAAGACCTCAACAGGATATTCTAAAAGCCAACAAGATCAAGTATCAGCTCGAACCTGCAACTCCCCAGCAGAGTCGCCAGAGCTGTCACACCCCTTTTTTACCAACTCTCACTTAATCCATTTAAATAAATAAAAAAGATTTGTAAAGCTCCAAAGGGTTTTTAATTAAAAAGTGACAAAAATTTGTGTTCAAAAGGATTAACTCAGAGTCGCCACCTGACATTTGATTTCGGTGTGTCAGGTCTCCGTTTTTCTAAAATAATTTTTTTTCCTTTCAAAACATTTGAGACTCCAAAACTAAGTCTGCACCAGAGATTCGGGTAAAGAGGTTCATTTAATTCAGGGAAAAGGTGCTAGGTATTCTCCGAGTCCCGTAACAAGTACGATTGCATACTTGATCTAGTCGGCTTTTAGAATATTCGAATTAAGATAAAACAAACATAGAAAAATAAACACGCAAAAGGGCTCGAGGTCATCCCCACCTAATAAAAAAAATAAAAATAAAAAAAAATAAAAATAAAATACTGCAAGCACTATTTTTGGCCTCCATATACAAGTACTACGGGGCATTCCCCGGAACAAAATATGTACAAATCATTCGGGTCATTCCCCGGATAAATTTAACTAAGGGAACGACCTCTCGCCCCAAAACTAACAAAAATCCTAAAGTTTGCCTACCCTAGTGTGGTCGGCCTAAAACATGCTCCTAGCAGGCAATGTAATAAAAGTAAATAAATGAAAGATAACTAAAATATGTAAATAGAATAGTAAATTTTTCTTTCCGTTGTCTTTTCCCATTCCCACAGTCCAACATGCAATTCGTTTCTTAATCTTCTTCTATTAGTACGCGACTTCATGTCAAGCATCAACTCATGAAGAAACTAAAGGCATAAACTGGCAGTTAAGCATTAATATCACCGAAATAATTAGTTCAACTAAGTACTAGGCTCAAACAATCAATTCTTAAGAAAACAAACAATGAAAAAATAGTGTTAGGTTTAAACAAAGATCAAGACAACTAAAAGGAATCTAAAATCAGGATACCTAGATAAGCAAGAACTGGTGGGATTTATATAATTGATCTGGTTTCAAACATCCTAAGATTTCAATAAAATAGGTTCAATAAAAGGGTCCTTTCTATAACTTCTTAGAGTATCAGGGAATGATCTTCTGATTAATTAAATATAGATTTGACACATAGCCTTCAAAAAATGTTTGACACGTTCTTAATTATTTTGTCAGGAACATCTCGGACCAATAAGACTAAAAAGACCAACAAGCCTCAAAAATTCAATCGAAGCTAAATAATTCACAAATATAATAGTATGATCTATTAACAAACTAACACTACTCTAATCAATTAACACCCAAATCAATCTAACAAAGAGATATCACTTTGTGAGGAAACATTTAGACTTTCTCAAAAATCAATATTCTCCGAAAATCATTAAGTTGAAAACTATGACCTGCTGAAGATGATAACATATTCTAATTAACTTCAATAACACTAGACCAAACAATCACTTAAACAATTACTTTTTATTTTCTAAATTGATGAAGAAGAATATTATTACAAACACAGTAACCTCCTTTAACTACACTAGAATTTGAAATTTCAAGAATTAGATAAAGGACTACTGTGAGGCACGAGACTGAGATTGAACAGAACTTTCAAAGCCTAAATAGAATTTACACAATATTCACGAACTACTCAATATAGCTAAGATGAATTCTTACGAAGGCAACTAAAACAAAAATACGCAAAAGTGATTCACAAATCTCAGACAAGAAACAAACATAATTAAGTCAAAAACTAATATCATGCTTATCACTACCATTAACACAATAAATAAGAGAAGGATAAGGGATTGAACCTCAAGCTCTTCCAACTAGACTCTGTTTTTGGACGTACAAAGAAGGCCGACAAGGTAACCCAACCAGTAAACTCGTAAAAACAGCAGGTGCAAATTGAGTAGGAATCATGGACCGACCTCGAATCGGCAAGCGAACTTCACTCGGCTATGTCTCGCTCAAAAGGGAAACCAAAAATCTAAATCCAAGAAAAGGAGCTGATATGTTTCTGAATTTAAACTCAAATAACATCCAAAACAGAGTCTTTTTTTTTTGGAATTTAATGAAAAAGAAAATTAAAGGTTGAATGAGACTCTTTTTTTTTCGTTTTTCTTTTCTGGAAATAAAAAATGAAGATGAACAATTGAGTAAAAGAAGAATACTCTCTTAGAACCCCAATTTTCCTACCAAAGTTTTCTTCCCCCTTCCTCTGTCCGAATATCCCCAAATATATAGGCACCCTAGAAGCTTCCTCCTCCTTCTTCTCCAAGAAAGCCCCCAAAAACCCGAATTTGCCATCAAATAAATTCCGAAAATCCCCTTTCACAAACAAAAATCAGAAAAATGGAGACTTTGGATAAAAATCTTCATCCAACAGTTCCCATTATTCCAAGATTTATTCAAGGGTCTCGGATTTGCTTCACATCGAACGAAAAAGAAAGGAAAAATGCATGAATCTAATTGTTATGATGAGGATTGTACGATTTGAGTGACGTGGAAGAAGGAGAGGAGAAGAGAGGGGACTATAGGGGACCATATGAGGCGAGTTTGGGTGAGTGACTCGCTGGTTTGGACGAGTTCTGGTGAGGTTGTGGTGTTTGGGCGCGACAGAGGTGAAAAGAAGGAGGGGGCGCCGTTTGGGTTGGGACTTAGGTTAGGGGATTGGGTTGGCCGGATNATTAGAAACTTGAACTTTTCTTTTTTTTTAAAATAATTTAAAATTAATTCTAATTAATTAAAGCAAAATATATCATACTATGATACTATATTTTTATATATATTTTTCTTTTATAAATTATTATATTCAAAATAAAAGTGAAAACAAAAAGTATATTGCTATAAAAACGTTAATAACCTAAACTAAATAGAAATAAAATAAATATGAAACTATTTTTGTATATTTTTTCCAATGATTATATTAGAATAAAAATAGGTTAAAATAATAATAATATATCTTTCCAAAAATACCTAATATTGAATTAAATAGAAAAATGAAACTACTTTTTTTTGTGTTTTTTTGTTTTTTTTTGTGCCTAAAAATAGAATTAAAATTAAAAAATAGAATGAACTATATAGAAATAAACTCAAGTAATATCATAAATATACTAGGACTATTAAAGGTGATTCTAATGCGCGGGTCAAAATTACATGTCTACACCTGCTTATCTTCTTCATCAATAGTTGGATTACCATAAAGAGAATTCATATATTCATGATCTAAATTTTCACCACCTCCAACATTATGCATATATTAACTCTCCGTAAATTGTAATAAAGTATTATCACTATCAAGAATAGGAGCAGGTGGAGGGCGGATATCGGGTTTGGGTAGGGGAGGCCGGGGAATTAGAGGAGGAATAGATTGGTCACTAGATTTACCACTCTTGGATTTTTCCTTATTTTTACTAAATATTTTTTTTAAGGAATATTCCATCTTATTTATAATTATACAAAGTAATTAAATAAAACAAACAAAACTATAATATTAAAACTAAAGAGTTGGAACGAGTTTACCAAATTGACGAATAACTTGTTGAAAATTAATTATCGTTGAAGACTTGAATACTTCAATTCACCAACTTCACAATTTTTCACACAAGTTGCAACAACAAAGTAACCAATTTTAGAAGAAAATTAGAGAGAGATTGATGATTTGGTGAAGAAAAATGAAAGAATGAGGGGGTATTTATAGTTGAAAATAGGAAAAAAAGTGTAATTATAAAAAGTTTGGGGTTAAAACAAAGTTGGAGGGGTTAAATGGCTATTTATAAAATAGCCAACAACTATTTTGGCAACAATAACGGTTACATTTTAAATGGGTAATGGTCAGAAAATTAAGTGGGATTTTTTTTTTAAATATAGCCGTTGGGGACCGTTTGAGACCGTTTGGGACCGGTTGAACTGGCCCACTTAGGACCCGGTCCCGATCCTAACGGTCCCCTACTGTGAACCGGCCCACATGGGCCTGTATATCTCCCTGGTCCCGGGCTTAAACGGGTAGGACCGTTTATGCCTACTACCCATATGGGCTCGCGGTCCTGGATCGGTTCCGAGCCTAACCGTCCCACTTGCCACCCTTACACAAAACCCAAAGTATAGGTGCTCTTTAAATTTCCCATAAGTATAATTCAAAAGAGATTTAATAAACAAAAGAACTTAAAACAGCTGGAAGTGACGTTGGACGGACCATTTTAAAACCATTATTTATATTTTGATCTTGTGTCAGAATTAAAATACGTTGGTCAGAATTTTGAAGCACCAAAGATGACAAGCACCAGAATATATAACCACAATGCGAAAAATTATGGTGATCGATTAGAATTTTGTGGCCAATTGCAAAAAAATATATATATATGGCAACCGTAAGAAATACTTTCAATTGTACTAAAATATGGTAACCATCGGGATTTGATCACCACAACTTGCAAAATTATGGGAAACTCTTAGAATTTTAGCAAATCAGCATAAGACTTGCCCAAAATTTTTTGACCAGCGTACTTCAAAATTTTGATCGGAAACACAAGACTTTTTTACTGGGGTCAAAATTTTAATGGTGGCACCAAATGATCCTATTTGTGTTGTGTCGTTCTCCCTATAAACAGAGACGAAGCCCATAAACAGTCAAGGCAGAATCTAACTCCAGGCAGCAACAAAGGCATAGTTATACTATCAAGTATCCACAGAGGAAAATACATAAAAAAGAACACAAAAGAAGAGAAAAAACTTTAGAGATACACACAAATATGGCATATGCAGTATTCTCGCTAGTAATTTTTTGCTAGTATACTACACTGTCAACAGCTACATGTTCCTGTAAGTAAATTACAAAAAAATAGAAAAGCCTTTACATTAACATTACTTGACTATATGATTGAGCAAACTACTACAAGATGGAGAGCTTTGCTCACTTTTCCATGGATCTTGTATTGAAACAGGAGAATAATCCTTTATTTTTTCCGTCGAAAATATAGCTTTTATATCCATTTCTCTCTTCTTAATTGAAAGGTTCAATGGTTTCTCACTCACATCTGAAGCTGATGAAATAGAAGATCCCTCTGATGAAGCTGTAATATTATCTTCTGAAATTGCCCATTTGCTTAATCTAAGTTGTTCCAATTCAATCGCCACTTCCATCATCGATGGCCTCATATCGCGATGAAATGCAAGACATCTGAATGCCAGTTCAGCTACCTTATGCACAGACGAAAGCGTCCAAGCATCCATATGTGGCTCGATTGAGGGATCGATAACTTCATCTAAATTACCCTTTCCTATTCTGTCAATTGCTAGTGCAGCCAAGTTTATTTCGTCTTGTGGACGAGCAAAATCCACTGCTTTTAGTCCTGTTATGATCTCTGCCAAAACTACGCCAAAGCTATAAACATCACTCTTATCAGACAACTGAAAATTCTGATGATACTGAGGGTCAAGATATCCTGGAGTTCCTTGTGGCGCGGTAGAAATATGGGATGATTCAATAATACCAAGTCTTGAAAGTCCAAAATCCGCGACTTTTGACTTGTAATTATAATCCAAGAGTATGTTACTAGACTTAACATCTCTGTGATATATTGGAGGGTGCATTGCATTATGAAGATAAGCTATAGCTTGAGCAGTTTCTGCTGCAATCGTGAGGCGAACAGGCCACGGAAGTGCATTTCCTTTTTCTCTTTGTAAATGTTGTGACAAAGTTCCATGAGGCATGAACTCATAAACAAGAATCTGTTCACCTTTTTCAATACAGCAGCCCAAGAGTCGAACGAGATTCGGATGATTTACTGAAGAAAGGAGCTTGATCTCATTAATGACTTGTTCAATGCTATCAGTATGTCTATTCATAATTCTTTTGATTGCTACCCAATTGTCGCTTTGAAGTTTTCCTGAATAAACTGTTCCATAAGCGCCATTTCCTAGTCTTCGCTTCTCAGAGAAGAAATCGGTTGCCTTTTCCATTTCTTTGTATGGATAAATCGGGATAGTAATCCCCGTTGTTTCACATAGCTCGCGGCTTCTTCTGCTTCTGTTTTGGAAATTCAATCTTCGTCGAATAAAGCAGCATATTAGGCCTATACTTACCATTAATGAAGCACCTGCTGCAATGCCTGGAGAAAAAATGGTTTTCAATAAGTAAAAGGACAAGAAAAGGATTTCATTTCGACTAGTACTATACGCTATGAGACTCTACACTATCGGTGTATATAACTTAAATCGAGCTGAGTATTACCTCCAACAAGTACGCCAACCCTGGTGGTTCCTCCACATTTGCCTGAAAGGTAATTTGAAGGGTTGCATGTTGTGTCATCTGCATTCATAAGAAACACTTGGAATTAGCTATGACACATCTATTTTTCACGTTAACTAGAAGGAAAGACCGGTGCACTAAGTTTGTTTGACCCAAAATTTAGATACGGGTTCAACCAATTAGATTTAAATAAAGTAGAGTTAATCTTAGCTAATATTAATATCCAAAAGATATGTTAACCGATTTTGCAGTAGATAATATATATGTTTGACCGAATAGCAATAAATGTGGACAATACTAACAATATTCAATGACTCAAAAGGAGGAGGATAACATTTTTTCCCCTCGAGGATAGCATCAAATAATAATAAATAGCAATGAATGACATCTAAGTAAATAAGAACATGCGAGTCACTCGAAAAGGGGTGAGATATGTGGATATTCCTTCTGACAATGATGAATGATTGATAAGCCTTTGAATATTCAGGTTGTTCTTGGATCAAGTGGAAAGTTATGCACGATTATTTGTAAAAATGCATCTCTCGTGTGCTTGCAGTAAAGCCAAATTTTCTCTATAAAGTCAATGTGTTTTTTTACAAGTGAATGCCTTAAGTCCCCTATCCTTGTGTCTCTTCAATAGCTTCACCGGCCCTGCCCATCACTTCTTAATAGATCACTTCGACATCGGGCAAGCCTTTATCGAAGTCATACTGGCAACACGTAGCAGCTCGTGAATGCCTCCTTAATGTTAACATGGTTTGATCATGTCAAAGGTAATTTTTGACCCATATAAAGCTCACACTATGTGCGGGGTTGGGGGAAAGCCAGACCACATGGTCTATTATACGCAACTTTATCCTATATTTCTGCAAGAGGTTGTTTCCACGGCTCAAACTCGTAACTTTCTGGTCACATAACAATAACTTTACCAATTATATTATGGCAAGGCTCCCCTCCCTAGTTTAAATCTTTCCCTATCCAAAATCCAAATTAGTCACCAAAAACATTTTTTTTCTTAAGCATTATTGAAAAGGAAGGAAATTAATGCGTGGAGGGGTCCACTGACATTGTTGAACTACTATCGCCACACAATATGATGGCGACTCCATTTTCCTTGCTTACTCGCAGCCAAATGGAGATATATAGGAAATGAAGAAAACCAAGGGAAAAAAAAAACCTTCCTTGAATTAATGATGAAACAAATTTTGGCTGGACATCTTGATAGAATATCATGAATGGACACTACACCAACCAATCCACAACACGTAAAAGCCCATGCCTTAACATTTTGCATGGAGTTAAAAAGACGAATTTTGTAAGTTCAATTAGCAAAGGAATAAAAACTATAATAAAAAATGCAAAAAATGTTACAGTCAGTATTCGAATCTAAACCTAACAAACATTTTGAATCACCTTAATCGCAAAAAGATTCGTATGTATCATTGGGATTCAAAAATTCATATACATTCAAGAATATTTGTTTTTATCCTATTTGCACAGCATAATTTTCCAACGAAGGAAATTTACCAATTGAGACCTTTTCATTATATGTAGCTATCACTTGGTTCAACTTAAAACATGCTATCGACTCTAATTATGCATACGTATATAAATATCTAAAATAATTAAAATATATAATTAAGTCTATATATAGATTTGCCTCTAATTGGCATTGATAAGCGACATTGAAAGGCAACAACCATCACCATTCCTAGGTCCTACCTAGCTAGCTAGTCACGAGTTGCTCCGCTGATGAAGCAAACACATACGGTTATTGTCTTCTTAAGGTTGTCATTATTACCTAGTTTGTGAAAGGTGACAATCACCAAGTTGATCTGATAATAGTCACTATTTGCTCTTTTCTTGATTCTATCTTCAATTTCTATGAAACTTGTTCCGACTTTAGTATGAACATGAGAAAAGTTTAGTAAGACTATGACTTTACAGTGCCTTAACATGCAATCCACGTCTCAGATTAGAGAAATTAAGATTTAGTAAAGAATAAAAATTTCAACTTGAACAAGAGTTATACAGTCAACTATGGTACTTTTTTTCTTTTTAGCCGCCCCGGTATGTAATCTTTTTACTTGGACCCATGTTTTCTCATCCAATTATGATGTTCTTCTCTCTCCAAGTTGGTCAAAACTTCCTCATCATACATCTACTTCAATTTATTAGTTAAACCTCCCAACTCAAACCTAACAATAACAATAACAACATACCCAATAGTCTTACAAATAGAATATTAGGATGGGTGTATACGCAAACCTTATCTTTATTTTGTGAATATAGAGGAGTTGTTCCGATAAACTTTTGGCTTATAACCAAAGTAGCTTGGAGAAATTTGAAGATATAACATCACACTTTTGCATATATGACCTTTAATTTCTACTTTCCAGAGGTCGTATATAATTTTCTCTATAATTATTACTTTCTGAAAACTAAAACATCTAGTTTTACATTGAAAGTTGGCGAGAAGATATAATTAAGTAATTAAAAGTGTATTTTATTAACAATTTAACTTTCAAATGAAATGATCATTGCATTTCACTGTAGGATCACACAGAAATACTAACTTCAAGTCTCATCGTTATCCATAATCAAAATGAATTTACACGTATGAGGTCCAAGAGAAAGAGTCAATCTGGCAGGTGCGTTGATTACATAATTAAGTAATTAATCAGACGTACCTTTCCGGCAGCCGGAGCCAGCTAAGAAACCATCTCCAATAAAACCTTCTGAACACTGGCACCTATATCCCAATTTCCCATCAATAGGTGACAAGATTTTAGTACAATTTGCATTAGAAGAACATTGACAATTTCCTTGAAGCCACCATCCCAATTGAACCACTTGAACATCCAAAGAAACTGCCGAACCATTCAACGTTGACTCAACAGATATTGCAGAAAACAAAGAGTGGCACCCAGTTCTTGACAAATTCCTCAAGTCAATAAAATTACTCTCACTATTTGGTTCAGAATAACAACTCATATTTTCTTTCCCACAGTCAAGAAGCTCAAAATGAGTTTGAATCATAGTTGAAGGTATCAAACAACTAGACTGTGAAAAGCTACAATTTTGGAAAAGTATTCCATTACGTGAAGTGGGTGCGTAATTTGAGCTAAAAAGATTGTGAATTGCAGAAAATGGACGGCTACATTTGGCTAAAAGATTAATTAAAATGGTCTCAGAAGTTATAGCCTGAACTGGGAATTTGTTAATGACCATTGCCCCATGTGAGGTACAATTTAATTGAATTGGACAGCCTGAAGAAAAACCAAAAGGATATTGAAGAAAACTTTTTCCACATGAATGTGTACAATTGGTTGATCCAAGAACTATATTCGATGAAATAATAAGTATAAACAAACATAGAATTCTTCTTGTTCTAACATAGAGAGATAAATTCATTTTTCACAGCGCATGTGATAAAGGGTGGAGAAGAAATAATAAGAAGAAGAATAGTTTGAAAATTGATGAGAACTGATTGAATAGGGGAAGGGGGAAGAAATAAAGTAATGAGAATACATATAATGATTTTACTTATTAAAGATAGACTACTTTTTAATGTAGATTTTTTTAATGTGACATATCTGTGTTTACCATTTTTTACTATGTGAAATATGAAAAAACATGTGGGACAGCATAATGATATGTCTCTAACGAACACTTATTTGGTCATTGACCTGACTTATCTGCAAGTTGGAAACCTAACATCAGAATAATTTATTACTATAAATGTTATAGTTAAATGTTAAAAGGATATGTACGAATCGAGGATTTATTGGCCATTGACCCACCAGCAATATTTACCCTGCATTTATTATATTTTCAGGTCTAGTTTGTATAGGAAGTGTTGAATTAATTTAAGTGTACAGTTTAGTGAATAAATTGAATGTTACTGTCTTCGGTCTAAGAAATTAGCCGTTTATGAAAATTTAATTTATTTCTAAAAATTTGATGTTTTTAGCAAAATAAGAAAGTCTTTTTTTTTCAAATCTACCCTTATGTTCAAATTAGTGTAATATTAATTAATTAACATATTTAAAAAAGACAATAGTTTAGACCTCTGTTTTAAAAGGCAGAATTAGGACTCGCCCGGGGCTCGCCCTAGGGCGGAGCACTCGTAAAACTCCCCTGGGTTTATGTGTGGGGCTTAGTTCCGTGAGACTTACGCCTCGGTCATCGGGGCTTACGCCCCGGACATGCCCAACGCCCAACGTACTGGGCTCGCCTAATAGAACTTTAGGTCGAACGACACAAATAGCCACTAAAAGCTGTGGCTTTTATTTTAAAGCCACTGTTTTCAATGTATTTAGACTTTAGCCACTCCTTTTAAAAAACTTATACCTGACTAGACGAAAATACCCTTTTGGTATAACTTATACCTACGCTATCAACACAAGCAGCAGTTACACAAAGAGAAGAAGCGAGCAACAGCAGCAACGGCGATCAACTGAGGACGAACCACTATTTCTCTTCCCGATTTAAAAAATTCAGCAATCTAATCCAAAAAAACAACATAGATAAACAGTAAGTTGTAATTTCATGTGTTTCTATCAATTTTTATTTCGCTATAGTTATACTTTTTTAGATCTGTATTGATTTGATTATATATTAGATAAGAATTTGATTTTTTTTGAATTTCTGGATTGATAAATTTATAGACACCGCCTCCTATGATAATTCTGTATTCCGGACATAGTGTCTTCATTTTGGAAATTGAATTCAAAAAAATAAGAACAATATGTCCTTAACTTTGATTCTACCGGCCTCATTTTGCAAATTAAATAAAAAAACTTAAGGACAAAATGTCCTTCACTTTGTTGTTGTTNCTTTAAAAATTAAGGACTGGCAGTCCTTAACTTTTAATTCCATGTTTAAATGTTAAGGACTTGTAGTCCTTA